GAGGATTGAGCAGAAGTGGGGTTTCTGTAATGCCTGGGAGAAATCAGGTGAGCTTTCAGACCAAACGGGATGGAGGCGGAGAAAGAAATTCTTGTGTTGCTTTGTTTTAAAATCCATTTCAGATCTCCATAGTTTTGAAAAGGCAAGGGATTCTTGTACATGGTCCTTTATTTTATATATAATATTTATATCTCACCCTTTTCCCTTCAAGGAACTCATGGCTTGCATCCTCCTCCTCCTCCTCTCACTCTTATCCTTACATATGTGCTTCAATGGAAGCTTGCTAAGGAAACAGCAAGTGTTTTGGGGAACAGGCAGATTAAACAGATAGATCATAAATAAGGCTTGCATTCACGGTGAAACTGAGCACTACATGGAATTTCTTTTCTTGCTTTTCAGCTGCATAGCCTCTAGGTGGCAGTGTGGCACAGTAGAACAGTGAAAGTAAACAAGAATAAATGGCTCTTTCTTTCGCTTTCACAATTCAATGCCACATTTCCCCTGTTCTAAAAGAAGTCATCCAACTTGCTGGTTAGGCACAGAAGAAAAACTGGAGGGTTGCTCTGTCACCAAAAGAATCCATAAACAACTGTGAGGAGAAAGTAACCCAATAAAAGCCTTGTGTAGAAAATCCAGAAGAAATGGACCCCTGCAGGAATGCTGGCAGTGTAAAAGGTCTCCTGGCCTGACCAATAATGGCTTCCTCCCAAAGAATGCTGGGAAATATAATTTTGGTATGTGACAGAATCTGCTATAAAGGAATTCTCATCAACTTTGCCCAATTTCAATCCACAGGATCTCCTAGAAGAAGCTGAAGCAGTGAATTCGACCTAAAAAGTAGCTTAGCTTTGCAGGGCAAAAGTGGCCTCTGTAACCAAGATTTAGCCTTTTGCCAGAAATCCACAGAGGCTGCAAGAGGGCAGAAGGCTCACAAATAAAGTGAGAACGGGATTTACAGCTAGCCTGAGGCTACTCCAGCCTTCCAAAAATGCATCTCATTGCATTTTTCTTTATCACGGATGTTCCAGGATTGAAACACCGCTGCATGAAATGGATGCTGGGGAAAAGATTAATCCTATAATATTAGGAAAGCATTTACAGGTGCAGCTGGTGGTGAGGTGGGCCCACGGGCCCACGCCTGTAGTATTTAACGATACTGCCCTCTCATGAAATTATATGGCAATGTGGACATTGTAGATACAAGTGCCCAAAGAACATTATGTGCTCAAAATCTGCATTCGCCCTCCGTGAAGGGGTTGTATTTCAAGGAAATGGCATTCATACAGAATAATATCACATACTAATCCTTCGGCAAAGGCGTATTTGCTAATAACCTGTTCAGGGGCTACATGGCAGCACCGGGAGGACCAGGGGTTAGCGCTTGCAGTTGGTTCTAAGGACCTGCCAAGCAGCTGCTGAACGCAGATGTCCGTCTTCTTTTCCGGCTGTGTTCAAAACCAGGCAACAATTTCTTCCCAGACCCTTCCCAAGTGTGAGGAGTCCAATAGCCACTGATCACAAGTCCTTGTCTAACCAGCTGCCCTTTAGGCACAGATTCCATTAAAGCAGAGAATGGATGAGCTCCCATCACTTCGTTGCTCCATACATTGATCTCATGAATCGTGGACAAGCCCTGGAGTAGTTTTCTCTCTTGTAAATTAAGCTTCATTCCCACCTGAACAGAAAATGATGCTGCAGCCTTGAAGAGAAGGCATTCAAGGGTTGACGGATAGTCTTTTCATCCTTAAGCCTTATCAGTGTTTATCAGGAAGCAATAGAATGATCTGAAAAGAGGAAGCTTTTAACTAACATGGCTGTGTACGTTGCGGAAGAGAGTTATTCTTCTTGTTATTAAAGATCCCCTGGCAGCTAAAAGAGGCACTGTAATGAGAAGATATTATTCCTGGGTTGGAAATTCTGTACTGGTTTGCAGCTGCTTTCCAGGCATAACTCAAGGTATGGATTTTAACCTTTAAATCCCTAAACTTAGGACCTGATTATCCAGGGAATGTCAGTCTTGCGATAAACCTGGCCAGCTTTTAAGATCTACAGGAGAGGGTTTTAAAGGGAGGTCCATGTCCTGCAGGGGCTTGCTTTTCATGCTGTTGTGGCTTTCTTCTGTGTTGTCTCCAAACTATGGACTCTGCTTATTCAGAACCTCTTATTTATTATAGTTCTATTTCACCCATTTTCCTTCAGGGAACCCACTGAAACCCCCTTTCCATTTTGTCCCCAGAACAACAACCCTGTGAGGAAGGTTAGGCTGAAAGTGGGACAATGGTACTCTCACCACTGGGCAACTCTCCCACCTTTTCTCCTCTGGCAAGGGACTCAGGGCAGCTGACAAGATTCTCCTCCTCTGCTTCTTATCCTCACAATAGCTCTTTGAGGTAGGTCAGGCTTAGAGACTGGTTCCAAGTCACCCACAGGTCTTCGTGGATAGGTAGTCCAGAAAGTGGATCTCCCAAGCCCTAGCCCAGTGTGCTAACCACTATGATCACTGGTCTTTGTTCCCCCAATCATTCAGTGGGAGAATTTCTCAGCAGCTCCACTGGCAGGGGCTAAAGAAAGACCCCTTTCTCCCAGGAAGGCAGAGCATGCCGTATCCACAGATCAGCTCCTACAACCACGGACAACTTTCTGCACACCAAAAATCTGCACGGCACCAATTTTGCCTGCAACTTCCAGAAGCTGCTGACGACTTTCTAAATCACATTTTTAAAAACTCTGCTTGCAAAAGCAAAGAACGCCTGCCAGTCGAGGCCAGTGTTACGGGGGCTAATCGAAGTCTCTCTGCCGGCACCGATGCGCTGTTGAACATGTGCCGGGTTGTCTTGCTCCAGACTGCTGCTGAATTGCTGGCGAGCGGCTTGCAGTCTGCTCCGAGCAAGAAGGGCTGGAGGATGCTCGAACGGGAGGGAGGGGAAAGATGCTTTCTGAGCCCTTCCCTCCTCCCTCCCCTCCTGCCAGGACCAGAGTGACAGCCCTCGAGGGAAGCAGAGCGGAGATGTGGAGAATGCCTTCTTCCGCGCTGTGCCGTGCCCGGAGAACCACTTCCAGATCTTTGGAGGCGTCCTCAGGATGCTCGGTCCAGACAGGAGGCAGGGGACGAGGTTAGGAGGAAGGGACCGAACGAGAGGGAGGCGCTGGGGCTGTTGATGCTTCCTATGGAACCGGGAGGACAGAAGCCCCCGGATGCCTCGACATTGCTCGGGAATGCCGCTTGTTTCTCAGCGCTTCTCCTGTCCTTGCTGGGGAGAGAGCTAAGCAGGACACTGCCTGTGTTTTGCACAGTAAGTAACTTTGCGAAAGTTTGCTCAGGATGGCTGACACAGCCCTGCCTGGTGTGAGCGGCACAGATGAATGGAGGGCAATGCTTGGAGGGGCATCGTTCCTGGCAGCCCTGCGCCTCTGCAAAGAGGTTTCTTTTCCAGTAGGGAATGTGGGATTCTTTCTGCATGGTTTCCATGAGAAGGGGAAATGCGAAAGGCTTCTGTTAGCAAGGCGAGATGTTAATGCCGTGCGGTGTAGTCCAGTCCAGTCATTTTCTCTGAAGAAGATAGACTGACCACTCTTTCCCAGCATCACCACCCTTGTCTGCAATATATGGGGGTAATTAGACTGATCTCCCTCGCAAGATTGTTGTAAATGTTGCAGGGTAATTTGTCTGAAGGAATTAAACACACTGGGCAAGCTTTATATCCATCTGTTGTTGATGATGGATCTTCTAGTTCTATTATTGACTGCTGCTGCTGCTGCTGCTGCTGCTGCTGCTGCTATTATTATTATTATTATTATTATTATTATTATTGTTATTATTAGCTGTGGGTGGAAAGCTATACTGGCTTTAAGTTACCTCCCATTATCCCATGACCTTCAACACACACAGCAGCTCAGCCATTTACAACTTTAGTTTTCTCTTGTTTATCTTTCTTGGAGGATGTTGGCCCCGTGGCAATGTGAGATGAAATCATTTTGTAGACGCTCGAGGTAACCTCATCAGAATCTCATCCGTTCCACAAACAGGGCTGTGAACAGCTTATTCAGAGATAAAGTATTGCTGGCATTTTCACCCACCCCTTTCTTTTAATTTTTAAACCATGCTGTTGTCAGTGAAAGAAAAGCAGAAACATTTATAACGCCCTTCCAAGGAAGAGGAAGCTACTCATAACAGAGGCTACAGTGGTGTTAATTAATCCCAGAGAGTCAAGGAGAAACTTGAGCATTACAAGGAAGGCTTTATTACTGAAATGCCATCACCGAACAAAGTTCATTTCCAGCAGATTCGGGGCAGAGAAGAGTAAATCCTGCACATCTAAACATAATTAACTTATGGAATTTGCTACCGCAAGAGGTTGCGGTGGGGGCCAGGAGCTTCGATTGCATTGCACACAAAGGAATGCACGGATTCAGGCTGTGGTCTTTTGCCTGCTTCCCTGAGAGCAAGTCCTGTCCAATTACCGGGACGCCTTTTTCTCATCCACGGCCTGCTTGACTACCAGTGCCTTTTAGACACAGTATGTAAAATATAACCACCACAAACAGACACAGACTGCTAAATCAGTTGAGGAAGGCCATTATCTCCGTGGCTTGCTCCCAAATGGCCAAGAGCATCTGGCCGACATCTGTTGGAAACTGGCAACTGGGCCAGATGGATTCTTGGTGCTCCAGCAGGACAGTTTTGTTTGCTTGCTTGTCTTAAGAGCAACGCATCTGCTTGCACTGAGCGGGGAGGGGAGCAGCTTCCCTGCAGAGCTCCCCCCACCCCCAAGCCTTCGCTCTAACGTTCCAGCAGTTCTGAAGGCTACAACCCAAGTTTCCTTGGGGTGAGCCTAGGGTCCAGACAGCCGGGCATGCTGTAGAAACGGTGGGATGCTGAAGACCAGGGGTGGAAAGGACCACTTAGGAGAAACGGATGCTTTCCTTCCTCATCTCCAGTGTTGTGCTTTTGTCTCCCTCTGACGCTGCTGCTCCAGGAGCCCTAGCAACAACCCTCAGAGATGCCTATTCTCTCCGGAGGCAGTGACCATGACTACAGCTTTGCTTCCTGCAATTCCCTGAACCACCTCATCCCCATCTCGGTGGTCGAGACACCTTCTGTCAAAGGGGTCCATTACCAAAGGGCTCGGAGGATTCACCACCCAGATCGGCTCCAGGCGGTCGACCTGAAGAGGGAGATCAAGGTCAACGTTGGTGGCATCAAGTACCTGTTGCCTTGGAGCACGTTGGATGAGTTTCCGTCCTCCCGGCTGAGCAAGCTGAAGTTCTGCAGCAGTTATGAGGAGATCCTCCAGCTGTGCGATGACTATGATGAGGACTCCCATGAGTTCTTCTTCGACCGGAACCCTGGCGCTTTTGGGATGATCGTCAGCTTCCTTGCGGCAGGGAAACTGATGCTTCTGCGCGACACCTGTGCCTTGTCCTTCCGGGAAGAGCTGAGGTACTGGGGCATTGAGGAATCCAACCTGGAGAACTGCTGTATCCGAAAACTCTTCCAGAAGGCCGAGGAGCTGGCGGAGGCCCGCAAGGAGGAGGAAATGCAGAGGGAAAGGGGGGCATCCTGCAGCCTGGAGGAGGAGACCAAATTTGGTCAGTTTATGAGCAAGCTGAGGGACATGGTTGATAACCCTCAGTCAGGCCTTCCAGGGAAAATCTTTGCTTGCCTCTCCATTCTTTTTGTGGCAACCACAGCAATTAGCCTTTGCATCAGCACCATGCCAGACTTAAGAGAAGAAGAAGACAGGGTAAGTTCCACGCCGCTCGTATCACCGCTGTTGACTCCGTGCTCCCCTCCCCTGCCGTTATCGCCCATCAGAGATGACGGACGGGATGTCCCTGAGCAGCATCCCAGGGGGATCGTCCCAGGGATCTCCAGGGTTCCCCCAGGAGGCGGGGCTTTGCACGAACCAGGTGGGAGATCTCCGTGGGCTAGACTGCATCTCTGAGCCAGGCGTTCCCCTCCCCTGCTGCAGGCCTGACGGAGAGGAAACCGGGCGGCGGAAGAAGAGGAGAGGGCTCGCCACCCTCCATTGTTTGCCATGGCATGGCCCACTTCTGTTTTCAGCCGCAGCCTACCCCTGCTATGCGGGGGGCAGGGAACGGGGGTCCTTGACAGCAAATGGAGGTGGTCTGCCCCAGCTAAGAGAGTGGGCCCCACATCTCAGCTGTGCCCCGGGGACTCGCTGCAGGCAGCGCGGGTGGTGGGGATGCCGCCATCGCTGCTTCCTCGCGCCACCTTGCAGTGTTCCGCTGAAGGCCCGCGAGGGGCTTTGGCAGGTGGCAGGAGATCCGACCCCTCCGAAGGCGCTTGTGTGGAAGCAGCACGTCCACATTGTGCCGGCAGCCTTGGCCCGGTTCACACAGGCCTGTCCTTACCAGATGGGGGAGGAGAAGCCGGTTCTCACGCCGGGGGTGCAGGGGTGGCTAGGCACTGCTTCGTCCATGCATGAGGTCCCAGCTGCAAACCCAGAGGGTGATGGCAGGAACTGGGCCGGGAGAAGCTGCGCCCAAACTCCCAAACAACCTCTGCAGCTCAGGCCAGACAATCCTGGGCCAGAAGGGCCAAATATCTGCCTAACAGAAGGGGTGGGAAGCACTAAGATGTGTTCTGCAAGACAGGGATGTTTATTCAGGGCATTTCTACGCCCCAGAGGGCTCAGGGCAGCCTGCGAGGGTCTCCTTCCATTTTATCCTCACAACAACCCTGCAAGGAAGAAAGGAGCAAGCGGTTGGGAACTGCCCACGTGAAGTCTGTGCTCAAGGGGATTTGAACTCGGGGCTCCTCAGTCTTGGTCCAGAATCTGAAATGTGCAACAACAGATAAAGCCCTATTAGTATTCATTAGAGTTATTTTTACATTTCTGTACCTCCTCGTAGCTGAAGCTTTCTGGGCAGCTAACAAGAATGCAGTCGCTCTAGGTCTTTGCCATGTACAAGGGCAGTGAAAGATGTGTGATTCCCGCAGAAATTATCATTTTTAGAGGCACCCAAATGAGCCCAATCAAAGAAAGGTTGGGTGATTTGCAGTGAGGAATAGAATCACGTCCAATGTGAGGACTACTTTTGCAAGGGAAGAAATGGAGAAAGGTCTTGGGGAAAAGTATTCAGCTAGTTGTAGCTCTTTGCCAGAAAGGATGTGATAAGATTTTGCTGATAAGAAACAGGGCTTAAAGTGCAATGCAGGTTGCTTTTAACCTTGGCTCAATCCAGGTTTGGAATATGAAATGCAGAAGAAACACTTTTGGATTCTAGTTTCCAACTGGTTGATAAGGAAGCAAAACATTCATCCCTCCATTTAACCTTTTCTCGGTTTTAATTGCACTGGAATGCAGAAATAGAATCAGTGCCCAGTCTAACAGAAGAATCCTATATGCAGAACAGAGTGCTTCTGAACATGAGGAGAGTGCCTTCTCCTACTGAGCCATTGAAATTTTGTTTGCTTCCCAGGCAAGGAATCACGTCAGTCCCAAGTACCCTTAATTTTGTTTTTGAAAAGTAAATGCCAAATGGAAGGATAGCCCTGAAGCTTTGCAGCCCGGAGACGGTTGCAAATTAATCTTTAAAAATGCATGCAAAAGAAAGCAGGAAAATGATGGAATGACAGGTGAGCAAAGGATAGTACAATGTCTTCTTGGAACACGTTAACATTATATCAATCCCCTTCGGACTCTCAATATGAACTAATAATTATAATTATATATAAAGTCCTGCATGATAAAGTAAGCCTAAATTCAACTACAGTATTTTTTGGTGTTTTTAAAGTGCCACAGGTGAAGTGATTATTGTTATTAAAGTAGATGTTTATAAGCCAACTTCAGACCAGGTTTACTCAGAAGTAAGTCATAATTGAAATTGATGAAATAGCCTAAATTAATGCCTAAATTAATGCCAGTCATGTCAGGAGTAAATTCCTTGAATTTTATAGGACTTAATCTCATGAAAGCATATATACAGGATTGCAGTCTTAAATTCCTAAAGAGTTTTTATTTCTTGGGAAGGGGGCAGTGGGTGGGTGGGAAATGCCTTCAAGATCAAACATACCTTCATGGAACAAACATTTGTATTTACTTTCATCATAGAAGAACTCTAACAGTTATGTCCTCATAAATATTTGTTTTATTCTATTTTCTCCAATTGCAACACAAGCGTTTTGCACCCAAATTACTTTTATGCTAAAAGGAACATCATCTAGGTATTTTCAATCAGACTTAAGTAGCGAGATAGAGAGAGAGATGGGGGGAAAGAGAGAAAGAACAGCTCAGCAAGAAGCATCTTGAATTGATTGTCTTACCACATTCAAAGGTTAAAGCACCAGCTAGTGATAATGCTCTTCTTAGCAACGCTGAATTTGTTCAGGATGTTGGCAATATGTTAGAAAGACTCTGCTCAAAATAACTTGTAAATGTTTTGACACCACGTGGCCTGCCTGTGTAGCAAAGGAAGGCATTCGCAGACGCCTTGCACCTTCAGCTTTAGGAAAGCGAACAAAACTGGCAAGGAAGAGAAAGAGACGAAATGAGGGCCGTGTATGCACGAACATGGCATTACTCTTTATGCGAATTAATGCAGAATAATTAGCAGCCCCCAGTTCTGTGCTTAAAAGCACCAATGCGCAGATTAGAATCGGCTTTCTAAGGTTGCCAGCTGACCCCAAAAGCAAAGGGGCAGGCCTGGTTAAAGCACCCTGAAAAGCAAAATTCGAAATCGCTTCATGCTGCAGAGAGAAAGGACTGCCGGCCTTCAGCAGACTGAAACACCCTGAATGGAGCAGCTGGCAACAACTGGCAAAGAACCTTCCCCGTTTTGCAGGCCTTTCGTGCCTCTGACCATGTACGTGAGAAGAGGGTGGATAAATGCTAAGAGTGAACTTGTCTGGTGTAAGGGAGCAGTCCCGAGGCACACTTAAGGAGAGGTAGGTCGTACTGAAATCCGAAATTCAGTGGGGAAGGGAGACCGTTCAGCTGCAGAGCACATGTCTTGCAAAACAAACGTCCCAGGTGCGATCTCAGGCACCTGCAAGTCCCTCTCGGAAACCTTTGCCGAGCTGCAGCGATTTTGTCTAGAGGATGCGACGTGAGATAGAGCAGTACTTGACGCAGTATAAGTAAGAGAAGGTTCCGACTAAAATCCATAAAGTGGTGCTTTGCATGGGGGTCTAACGATGGTGGGAAAGTCTCCTCTCTGAAGGAGGAGGGGCCCACATTGCAAAGCTCGATTCTCGGGCTCACCCTTCCCTGGCAACTTTGTCGGCTGGGAATGAGCACTGATGTCTCGTTCCCAAGGCGAAAGGCTCCGAAAGGGGGAGGAGGGTTGCTATCCTGCTGGTGAGACTTCAGGCCAGAGGAGGAGTGTTCATTAAAGACAGGGGCCCAGCTGTTCATATCTCGGGGCCAAATTTGGGGTGCTGTGGATTTCCATGCCCCCTTGGCCCTGCTCCTTTCTCCTAACCACCGTTCGTTTGGCACTTACCTCAGGCTTTCCCCGATTCTCAAGAATGTTGAGCCAAAATTGTATGTTTTGGCACACTACGAGCTCAGTGGGGCTTACTTTGGAGTGGACAAGCAGATATCTTGTTTGGAGCAGCCGAGGTGTGTTACAAATGCTGCAGGTGCCCCAGGAAGCCCTCTAGAAATGCAAAAACTCTTTGAGAAATTACTGCGTTTTGATTTGGACTGGGGGAGATAAAGGTGTCTCTCTGTGACACCTTCTTTCGACAAGGACACATAGTACTTGCAGCAGGGAAAAGGTGTGAGTAGAAAAAGGTCCCATAGATTTCCATCAGCTTGGTCCTCCATCAGATACAGAGCAGGGACCCAATCCAAGCTGCTTTTCCCAACCCAGCTAGTTCTGATTCTCTCGGGTTTCTCAGTGCAGCAACTGGGCTGTTTGTTCCTTGATTCTTCGATTGTGTGGTCCTGAGGTCTTTGCTGCAGCCCCTTTGGACACCCTTTGGACATATGTACACCTCACGTGGTATTTGCCAGGCTCCCTGGCTTTTATTTTACTGAATATTTTAATTTTTTGAAGAAAAGGCAAGGTAGTGAGTGTGCTCCAAGACCATCTTTATTTGGGTTCGGGGGGGGGGGGTTGTGCCTTGGAGTGCATACCTCATCTTTGCTTTGTACTTTGATTCTCGAGCAAGTTGCTTTTCTTGAAATCTCACCTGTTTGCCTTCTGGAAAATGAGTGTTTTGGGGACTGGCAGAGCCCACGCTGTGGCTGCCATTTTGGGTGAGCACCCACAGAACTCTCTCAAAATGCCACATGCTCAGGAGGGTTGGAGATCCCTGAAATATGTCATTCAGTTGTGTGTGATTCCTCCAAGCAGTTAAGAATTCAAAGAAGGAGAAAGCAAAGCTGTGCATGTCATCTTTGTCATCGCAGCCCCGCTTGTGCCTTTAATGATAGCTTGGTCTGCAGAACTCAATGGGTGCGTCTCTGAACATCTTGGAGATGAACGTTCTCATGGGATAATGTTGACAAAACTAACCGCAGCCAAAGGGTTGTGAGGAGGAGGCCATAAAATGGCTGGGAAGTCTCCCGCATTACTGCAGAATTGGCTGAGTCCTTGAGTACAGATGGCTCAACCATCAATCGGATTTTGCTCTTGTAGTTACTGTCTAGTAACATACTGGCTGTTGCCAAGCCAAAACTTCAACCAGCCAGAATTTGGGATCTCATTGTGCTGCAGAAATTCTGGAAGAGTCTCCTAAAACTCTCCTGGGAGGGGAGGTATACATCTGTCG